AAGAAGGATCACTGCAGAGGTAGCATTTCAACAGGCCCTTGAAAAAGAGAACAGATACTCAAAGACAAATTTTACATTTTGGAGGGGGCAATTGTTAAAGCAATCCGTAGTAGGGTTATGTTCTTTTTAACTAAGAGGGCTCAAGACAGCGAAGACCCAGATCCACATCTGGATAGCACAAGGCCCTAACAAATGAGAATCATTCTAGGGGTAAAGGGAGGATATGCTGCAGCTCATATAAATTTGATCCTTAAAATTAAGGATTACAAAACTACCTATAAGCAGTCATCACTTTGGGGTCTCCATATCATCCAACTTCTGTCTTAATACAGTCGAACTTCATTTTAGCTCACATTATATGCCAATAATGTCACAAAGATAGTAATAAACAAAATATAAAAATATCAGGTCCCTTTTCCCAAGGACTTTACAATTAAAAGAGTAGACGAGTAGATAGTTAAAATACAGTGTGATTGGCACCCCCTGGTGGCGCAACGGGTTAAAGCGTAGCACTAAGAAGCTAAAGCCACTCCGGCATGAGTTCGATCCCCGCCTGACCCGGAGGTGACCCACATGATGAGGCAAACGTCTCCTGGCCCACCCACTGCTCCCCTCAGCAGTGTACCTCGTGGATCTGCCTGTTCTGCTCCCCACTCTGTCCTGGTGAATCCTCTCACCCTCCGCATCTCTGGCCTGTACCCCAGTTCTGTATGCACAAATAAATAAATCTTTAAAAAAAAAATACAGTGTGATTTATACTCTTACAGATGCATATGGATTGTTTTAAGAGCTCAGGGGAGATAGAAGCATATAAATGCAGCAATGGAAAGACAAGAGAAAAAAGGTATCTCCAGATAGGCAAGTGGGGGCAGAAATTCCGGAAAGAGAGAACCACATTCAAAAGTCACTGATGAGAAAACAGTGTATGTTTTTTAATTGTTCTAAGTTCAGTAATGCTAAAATAAAGGGCTGTTGAGATGAGGTGAGAAATGGAAAAGTAGATTTAACTAGATGGTGAATTCTATAGTTTGAACTTTATCTTCTATTTAATAATATTGAGTCACTTAATAATCGATCTGCTTCTTAATTAATTTCAGTTGTTGACACAGTACCCCTTAAGCCTTCTTTTGCAAATCTGTGCACTCCCTGCACTAGAGCAGAGATTCATAATTTGTATTCCCAGAAATAAGGGGTGATGAGGACTTAATAGCAATGCCAATTCTTGAGCCTCACCCAGAGGTTCTGACTGGGCAGCTCTGTAGTGCCACTTTTCCAACCCCCAGGCACGGAGTACCAATTCTGAGAATGCGCTTGTTTCAGCTGTCAAAACTCACTTCTAGAAAGGAGGAAGATTAAAAAAAACTGCTTAGAATTCAAAGGAAAGACACATGTTACCCTAGTAATATTACCAAAGGCTTTAAAATGAGGTCTTGGCTTCAATTTGACACTTTACCCAACAATGGACACTGCTGCTCCCAACTACCAAGGAATCTTTACTCCTCCATGCTCTTCTGCCACTTATCACCTGGCAGTCAGGTGCTCATCTCTCACTATACTTTGCCTCCTCACAGCTAAAATCTACAAGTGTCATCTTCTACTCTGTGCAGAAGCAGAGAGATCTGATCTCAAACAGAGAAGCAGCAAAATTTGGCATCTACAAGACCCCTGAAAAATAGAAAGCTGAGAGAATGTTTGCATCAAATCCTCACGTTTTCCAATTTCTGGTTCAAGGCTGTTAGGAAATTTACTTTGTTCCCTTCATTCTTTGGCAGGCCTCTGTGCCATTAATAAATTCTTCTCTGCTTAGGCTCATTTGAAGTAGTTTTCTGTTAGTTGTAACCAAGAGACAGTTGGCTAATGTTTTCAGAGAAAAGAAAGATCTCATTTCCATCTCTTTCTCTAATACACAGATTAAGAGATGAAGTGTAAAATAAAATTTCATAGAATGAATGGCGCTTGACTTAATTTTGAATAACTTATTATACTTTCAAATGTAGTACCCACTGACACTTTATTCCCTCCTTCTACTCACTGTTGACTGTTGGTGATCTATCTCTACAAGAGAGGTAAGTTTAAAAGTGTAAACAAAGGAGGAGGGAAAGTGAGATGAGTTCACCTACTCCTTAAATCTGGACTGGAAAAGATTCTGCAGTTTGGGAATCTGATGAAGATGGTCCATGAACAACCTTTGAAATACTTCCTTGTAGGCCTCAATGAATAAAGAAACACAAGGCATGGAAAAGAGCTGAATTATACTCCATGGTTTCTCCAAGAAATCGTGGACTGTTTAATCCAGGAACAAAAATGAGAAGAAAGCTGTAGAGCAACTTTATATTACTCAGTGGGTCAGAGATGAAAAAAATCATCTTAAAAAGTACCAGTGATCTAGTGATGTCCTGCCAACAGGAAATTGAAAGAGATCATTAATAAAAAGAAGTCACACTAAAGAAAGGAAGATGGGGTTGGGAACAAAGGCGGCGGGTGCCCAGTGGTTTATGGTAAAGGACTTGGGTGCTTGATAGCAGGTGTGGTGTGGAAACATACACCTGAGGAGATGGGAACCTATTGCCAAAAATCCTATACAGTGTTGTAAACCACTGTTACCTTGATTAAAGAAAAAAATATATGAACAAATATATATAATAAAATGAATAATAGTAATAAAAGGATTTCCTTTTAAAGGGGACACAGACAGTCCCAATATAAGTAGTAGTATTAGGGGCAATTCATAGCAAGAGAAGGACACATCAGAATCATGAGGAGACAGACAAGTGGGATGGAGGTCACCTCTGCTCTATCTGGAGGGGCACAATTAATTAAGTTCGAAATGTTCCCAGAGTGTGTTGGAACAGACAAAAAGTTGAGAATCACTGTGTAAGAGCCACCCATGGTAGAAGATTCCATAAACTTCCTAATTATACAGTGATTATAAACCAATGTTACCTATATATAAAATGTAATAAAATTTTCAGATTTAAAAAAAAGCCACTTTTCTTCAGGTCTCCTCTGACATCTTAAAAGCTTGTCAAATAAACTGGGATAAATTTGATTTCTCTGTAGTAAGAAATATCATTATGGTATCTAGAATTAAAATTCAGATAGAATTTTCCTTTTAAAAATTGCTAGGCCCTGTTTATTGTATAGTACATTACATTATACATTAGGTAGACATTCTAGGAGCCAATGACCTTAGTTTTACAGGGAAATATCATCCAACTTCAAAGCAAAATCTTAATCTAAAGAATCTACAGGGAAACAATTTGTCCATATAATCTGTCACTACAATGTATTTTCATTAAAACACCATGGCAGGCCCTCCCTGGTGGCGCAGCGGGTTTAAGCACTGCACTAAGAAGCTGAAACCACTTCCGCATGAGTTCGATTCCCGCCTGCCCCGGAGGTGACCACATGGCGCGGCAGACCTCTCCTGACCCGCCCGCTGCTCCCCTCAGCAGTGTACTTCATTGATCTGCCTGTTCTGCTCCCCACTTTCTGGTGAAGTCTTTCACCACCCCTGAGTCTCTGGCTTGTACCCCAGTTCTGTAAGCACAAATAAATAAATCTTTAAAAAAATAAATAAATAAATAAATAAATAAATAAATAAAACACCATGGCAGACACTTACCTTGCTTGAGGTCATTTCTCTTTGCTAAAAAAACTGGGGGTGGTACTTTAAAGGAAAAAACCAAAGTCCAAAGATTCAAGAAATCTTGGGGAAAACAAACCCCCAACTCCTCCCTAGTCAATGCACCCCCCCTCATGAAAAAGAAGAGTTAAGCCAACTAAGATGACAGAGGCTATACATACCTGCACTATGTCCCAGTGCATTTCCACATCCTCTTTAATATTGCTGGCATTTGCCAGAAGCCGGACAGGCTGCCCCTGAGGACTTATTTCAGTCTTCATTTTCTTTAGCGGGGACGGACCAAACCGAAAGTCATCTTCACTCTCTTCCTTCCTGCACGCACCTTCCCACAGGGTGCTTGTGGACGGTGTCTCTCTATTGTAATCCCCGCTCTCTACATTGCTGGCTTTGTTGGTTTCTTCATTAAGTTTTAGTTTCTTGGTCCTTTGAGCGGAGGTGGACAGCGCTGAATTTTTCCGTTTTGTCTTTGCTGTTGTCAGAGTCTGCACAGTACCCAATTTGTCTTTGCTGTCCTCCAAATCAACATCAGCAATAGCCACTGAGTTATTCTATCAAATCACAAAAAGATCAAGAGAATGAGATAAAGAGAATGAGATGACAAAAACCAACTGCTCTGGAATCAGGGGAGCAATGTTTTCCAAATGATCGATTTTTTTATACGCTAGTGATTGCACCAATGGGAGAAAACTTGACAACAGAAAAAACAAAGGAACAGCCGGCTTCATGAACAAGTGTGGAAAAGCAAAGATGGAGGTCCCTAGCCCTTCCAAAGCCAAAGCAAAAGCACACACTCTGCAGGCAGAGAAAGCAGGAGCCATAGTCACAAAGAAAGATCTTCATGTCACCCACCTTCCAAAAGCCCAAGACACTGATTCTGAAGAAACATCCTGGGCCACTATGCCATTCAAGTTCCCTGACCAGAGAGTCCATCAAGAAGAGAGAAAACAACACCACTGTGTTCACTGTAGGAGTCAAGGCCAACAAGTACCAGACTGTGAAGCGCCATGACACTGACAGGGCTGTGGTCAATGGCCTGACCAGACCTGGTTATGTTTACCTGGCTTCTGACTATGCTACTTTGGAAGTTTCCAACAAAATAAGGATCATCCAAAATGTTCTAGCTGGCTAATTCTAAATTTTTTAGAATTTAAAAAAATTTTTTTAAATTTTTTTTAAAAAGAGGATAATTGACAGAGCAGTGATCTTAAACAAAAGAGAATGGGATCTAAGAGGTGGGATTAATACCTCGTTAAAGGAATGACATCCTCCCACCCCCTACCATGACAGTGTAAGATGAACACAAATAATAGACAGTTTATCAAGAAAAATGGGAAACTCCGTACATTTTCAAGTACATAAAAGGCAATGTCACCCGCTGAAAGTGAGAGAGGAATTTAGGAGGTTTAAAAAGAAAAAGAAAAAAGTGGAAAACAAGCCCATTGGAGAAAAATAATCAATCTACCAGGTATTTCTGACTTAGTTTTGAAGTCTGAGATAAGAATCTAAAGGAAAACAAATTAGGTCATTGGTAACCGGTGGTTCAGTCATTGGTTCAATCAGTAGTCAACTGCTCAGTATAGACAGAGAAGTAAGGACCTTGGCGTACCCAAGATGTGGCAGCAGAGAAGGGCAAAAATGGTGAGACAACTTAATAAAAAGCTATTTCAATAATAGATTATGGAATCTAAGCTGGGTAAGGTAGGGAAAGAAGGACTGGCTGACAGCGATGGAGTGCTAGCATCAAGGGGTTTGTTAGTGCTTTGCAAACCTGGCTTTTCATAATATCACTCGAGGAGTTTTAAAAGCACCACAGAGGCACAGGCTCATCATAGAATTCTTGGCATAGTTAAATGGTCTGGAAATGGGGCCTAAACACTAATATTTTTCAAGTTCCCTGGGTGATTCCATTTTGTCGCTAATATTGAGAATTACATACAAGAAGGTATGTCCAGATTGCAAAGTTGTGACAGCGCAGGTGCTTGACCAAATGAGCTAGAAGCACAGTAGAGAGAGTACAAAGTTGGGTGACTGAAAAATAGTCAGCAATAGCATAGTTTCTGGATGACAAGATTTAGGTTGAGATTATGAAATGGGTGGCAAAAGTGGAGAAGAAAAGGTTATTGAAGAAAAGGAGGTCCAAGAACCAAGAACACAGACTACTACTGGCTCATTTAAATAAGGGAAAAATCACTAAGGAAGATAACAGCGAAGAAGCTATAAAGCAGCAGCTAGTCTTCAAGAAGAGACTTCGCCAGTGGGTTGGTAAATGTCAATAATACGGAGAAGAAACTGAATGATGAATTTTGTTTGTGATTTCACTCAAAATAGATTTTAAAATTATTAGATAGCTGTCCATCCTAACTGTATCAAAAATAGGGTTTTCAGTTACTTTCTTTATTTGGTTCTGGTTATAGGTCAGTGAAATTCCAAACCTGCACTGTCTCTAAAATGAGAGACTGTAGACCACTGAGAAGATCAAGAAGTCACCATGGATGTTATGGTTATTAAGCTGTAATATCTCTAATTATACTTTAAAACTTAGAAAATGGGCACATCTATATACATTTTACTCGAGAGGGTCATAACGTCTATAAGATTTTCAAAGGGTTTGTAACTTCAGTACAAACCATCATTGAACCTAGATATTTTCCTAGGTTAGACAATTTAAGTGCATTTACATTGAAGTGTAGGTAAGCCAAGATGAATGAAAAACCTCCAAATTCTGCCAACATGAGAGAAGTCTACATTTGTCCAGCTATAGGTAAAGGCCAGCCATTCATTAAAAGTATGTTCACCGAAAAGCCCAAATACAAAAAGGGAGAAACGGAAGTAGTGGAAAATAGGAGAAATGCTTGATTTAAATGTCCTATCAGGGTGCAGCAAGGTACAACAACTAACATCCCCGACTATATACAATAAACATGTCCACAAAAAGTCAGGCATCCACTGTGCGTTAAAAGCATCTGGGAACCATTATTCAAAGGAATACAACAATGAATGATTCTGAAAATGCATAATTCTTTTTGTAATGCAAAACATTATATAATTTATTACTGTAGTTTGAATCTGTATTAGTGTTTGTTTACAGCAATAAATAAATATACACCAGTTGATAAAAGATTTCTTCAACTCCAAAACAACTGATGGTGAATACTAAGACCCACTGCAGAGAACACCACTTTCCTGCAGTTCTTTTCACTGTCATGTTTTGTCTCCTCTATGTGAGTAGAAAGTCACATCCACATAAAGCACCATCCAGCTAGAGCACCTACCATTTCCTCCTTAACACTCACGCCTTCTGAGCCATCAACAATTTGAAGGGCATTCTTCTTCACCCGTGGCACCTTCTTTGGTTTGGATTCCTTGGGAACAGGTTGCTTACGGCTTCTGGGGGCCTTCTTTTGGGGCTCCCAGGCTCTATCTTCCTTATCATCTTCTTCAGAAGCAGATGATCTAGGAGTAAATTGACAGAAAAATGAAGCCTTTGTTAAAGGCTAAAAAAGACACAGGTTTCTTGAAAAAAAGAAGGCAGGAGGGCTTAATATAAAACAGTGATGATCACAGTTTTGAAGAGATACTGCTCAGAATGACATGACAGAGTTGACTGGGAACCAATGTAAAAATACCCTCTGATACACTGTAAAATTACTTGTTTCTCTATTCTCCTCTCACTTAGCCAACAAATATAGACATAGACACTCAAGACATAGGAAATCAATTATTGCCTTAAGTAATTTACTAGGTCATGTCACACTACAGTCATTGTGAAGTTTTCCATTTTAACTGTGAAAAGCACTTAAATCATTTCCTAAGTGCTAATCAAATCCATTTAAATCATTTTACCGATATAAGGAATAGGAAATGGCTCTAGGAAGAACCCTAAATTACTAAAAAAGCCAGCACCAAGATTTCTCCAACTGCTTTAACAAATCCTTTTTTCCCTTTCACAGAACAGATTTTTTTTTCCCCTGACTACATCAAATACAGCTAAACAACCCAAGAATCAAACTCATAGCAAAAGCAGAGAAAAAGCTGTTATGTGAATTCTGGTAAAAGGACATCATGCTCCTGCCAACCCAACTAATTCCACCTCTACCCCTAAGGTTCCAGGTGAATACTGGCTGGAAGGGACAACCACCTCCTGCAGAGCAACTACAGAACAGGAGTATCTGGATTTCTGAATGGTCTTTATGGAAGCAAAAACTTGATTGCATGGCTTCTTGGCATAAGTATGCTCTAAAAAGCACATTTATAATTATGATAGTCAAGCAACTGATAGTTTCCAAGTGAACTCCCCAGAGAAAATCATTAAACATAGTACAATAACAATGAAAGTGAAAGAACTTAGAATTTAAAAAATCAAGAAATCAGAAAAATTTAGAATCCCATAGCTCATACTATTACCAAAACAAGTAGAATATTTTCATTCTTCCTTAGTCTCATCACCTACTACTAAAGCAGAACTACTAACATTTATGCAGGACTATTGCCAAGATTCCATGACAAACACAAGAACTTTCAGTTATTATTAAGGAAAAGTGTCCGGTGAGGCACCACATTAGCACGAGGCAGTCCTAAGGCAGCTCATGCACTGCCTCCTAATCGTGCTTGACCAAGCAGCCGCATGTAGGCTCACTCCTTACAGCATGTAGCAACATCACTCCCTGGTCCTGGGTTTCTTCCTGCTCCCTTCGCAGCTTCTCTTTAGTCTCTCTGTGGACCTCTCTTCCCCCTACCATGTTAGTGTGGGGATCCATCAAGGCTTAGTCTTCTCTCTGCACTCTTACTAGATGCCCTTATCTCATGCGATAGCTGACTAGAGAGGAATCTTAATTTTATAACTCCAGCTTGAGCTCAAGACTTGTACATCCACTTGACTAGCAATTATCTCAAACTCCCAAGTCCAAGTTAAAAGTGATTTCACCCCCTTCATACCTGTGTTACAGGCCCTGACAAAAAAGAGTGAGTCTTTTGCCCTCTAGGGAGGGAAATTCACCAAAGCACACTATGTTTAGTTGAACCAAGTAAGCTTTTATTAGAGACTCAGGAATGAGGCAGCTAAGGCAGGGAAGAAGAATTTAGTGTGGCCCCTCAAAGGGAGTTAGGAAGATAATTATAACAGGAAGTGCAGGAGGTAGGGAGGAGATCAGTGTGACAGCTTAGGCTGGGCTACCCCCAGGCATGACACACAGGTTAATCCAACTGCACATGGGGGCTCTTGGCCTTCTCCCTCAGGAAAACTGTGAGATAAACATTAGTTAAAATCTAATGCTTCTTGTCTAGCATGGCACCTCATGGTCAGTGTGGTGGGCAAAACTGTTGGGCCAGGGCTTGTCAGTCCATGATTTCATCTACTTGTTCAAATAGGGCTTGGGGCAAATCATCCTGCTGCTTGGCAATTTCTCTTAGCTAGGCTGCTTCACACATTCCACTTGAGTTTCCCCAAATTCCTGTCTTTCCATGACACCCCAAATCTACTTTATCAGCACATCCTCTCTATCTTCAAAATGCATCCCAAATTAAACCACTTCTCACCACCCTCATGTCTAGGATCTTAGAGATCTATCATAATAATCTCCTGAGCTGATCCTCCTGCTACCATTTTTGCTTTCCTACAGTCTCTTCTCCACCAAGAAACCAGAATGATCTCTTCTAACTATAAATCATTTCATGTCACATACCTGCCCCAAATCTGTCCAGTGGCCACCCAACACACTTTGAATACAACGCTAACACCCTGCCATAGACTATTAGATTCTACCCATTCCCTTGCCACTTCCAATTACTGTCTACCTTGACTTTGGTCTGGCACATTAGTCTTGCTAGTCAGTGAACACAGCAAACTCACTGTTATGACAGGGCCCTTAGATTTGCTGCTCCTTCAACACCCATTCCCTAGTTCTTTGCAAGTTGTGCCCTCAAATCTCATTTAGATCTCTTGTCACATCTTCCAAAAGAATTTTCCTATCTAAAATGTCCCACAATCTCTTGTCCTACTTTATTTTTCTTTACACTATTTATTACTGCCTAGCATTAATCAGTCACTTATCTAATAATTATCTCCAGGATACCTACTGTACTCAAAAGCAGAGGTTCCCAATTGGGAAAAACCCTGTCTCCTTTCAGGGCATCTGGCAGTGGCAAAGTATTTGGAGGGGAAGAAGAGAGAGACTGGCATCTAATGAATAGAGACTGAGGATGCTGTAAAACACCTACAGTGGAATTATCTAGCTCACAATGTCAATAGTGCTGAAGTGAGAGGCTCTGCTCTAAAGCAATAGAAAATGAAAATGAAAATAAAAAGGCTTCCTGCTCTTGTGGAGCTTAAGTTCTAGAGCAAATATTACAATATGTATTTAATTGTTTACTTTCTCTTTGTTCAACAACTGATCACCAATCTAGGATACAGCATTTAAAAAACATCTGTTGAAAAAGACACACCAATTCAATCCAAAATGCGTAGGGGAGCAAATCTGCCACCCCAGTCATCTCTTTCACAAAAAGTTAATTTCAGGGAGGGACACTGAAGACTGGGTGGAAGTTGCTATCAGTGTTTATATTTAATTTTACTCTGTAAGCATGTATTCTAGACCTAATCCCCCTTATCTCTTTTTTAGGAAAAGTCAGAGTACCTTAGGTCTCTCTAATATACCTAACTGTTACCCTAACTGTCTTCCACTTTCTTCCCACAACCTCCTTTGTCCTAGCTACACCATTAAATATGGCATCTAAAGACACAAGAGTGAGTTACTCACCTAGTCATGATGGGTTTTTTCCAAATATAATGGAGGTATACATGTTATTTTAAACTTATTTTTGGTTTTTTTTTCTCATCAGTGTGCATACTGTGTGTTTGATTAGCCTAGAACTTCCCAGAGTGGGATGATTTCCTTTTGTTACAGACACAGCTCTATGAAGGGAGATGCCATTTTCCCTACCACCACTCAACTTGGACTACAAGTTTCAGTGTGCCGTGAACTGGACTTTCTGAGCAAAAGGTGAGCTACTGGGAACAGGTGGAGCTGAAGATAAAGCTATATAACGGGGAAGGCAGGGGGACTCTGAGGCTCGTAACTCTCTAGCTTTGACTTGCACCTAGGGACTTGAGGGACTTGGAAAGAAATACATAAAGAAGAGATATGTAAAGAGATATATAAAGAGATATGGAAGATACAAATGGGCGAGAGACATAGAGGAAGATGTCTTTGGCAGAGATGATAGCTGTCATAATCTTGACTTGTACTTTGCTTTGTTCCTTTTGTCCCAGACTTGCCTTGCTCCTGCCTTGCTGTTCTGCACCGGAAGAAAACTGAGACTTGTGGCAAGCTTTTGGGCCTTAGCAGCCCTACTTTAGACTCACCCTGTTTGACTAGTCATTTGCCCATGAGGGGATGTGTAACTTGGGAAGTTCTACTGGGAAGCTTATTAGGAAGATAATTTTGTCTCTTCCCTCTCTATGCACACTAATTCTGTTAAAGATTTTCACATTAAAAGTTTGCCCCCCCCCCAAACAAAAAAAAAAGTTGCCTCCTTTGCCTATGTGCACATGAATGGTCAGATCCTCTTTAGAATATGTACTCCTTAGCAGTTTGGGGTTCATGGTAGCTTCTTAACCACACACTAAATTTATATTTGAGTCCCAAATATAAAAGATAGAATGTATTACTTCTTCAAGTATACATCATTCTGTGCCCTTCTATTAAAGTAATATCCTTACAACTCAGAGAAGGAAGAAAACTCATCTTTGGATTCCACAGTCTGGACCTTTACTTTGGCTCTTCTTGGCAATGATGACATCTAGAAGAAACAGAACTTGAAATCAGCAAAATTTGAATTACCTGAATAATGATCTGTTTACAAAACAAACACTATTTTTAAAATAGTATATTGAGGCCCTCCCTGGTGGCGCAGCGGGTTAAAGCACAGCACTAAGAAGCTAAAGCCACTGCAGCATGAGTTCGAGCCCCGCCTGTCCCGGAGGTGACCACATGGTGTGGCAGACCTCTCCTGACCCGCCCGCTGCTCCCCTCAGCAGTGTACTTCGTCAATCTGCCTGTTCTGCTCCCCACTCTGTCTCTGGTGAATCCTCTCGCCACCCTGCACCTCTGGCCTGTATCCCAGTTCTGTATGTATAAATAAATAAATCTTTAAAAAAAAATAGTATATTGAACATTCCAGTAGTCTTGATGTCATAAGAAAGGAAATATGGGTCATTCACAAGCCCAAACAGTGGTTCCCCTTGAATAGTTAATAGCTCTCCAATGGTGTCAAAAGCCTGGTAATTGTGGGCCATCTTTTGAAAAACATAAGCTCCCACAGGGTGATAATTCTCAGTGTGTTTTAGCAGCATAAGCTTACATTGCAAGTGCATTTGATGGTTTATCAAAGAGCAAATTATAAAGTCTTTTAATAAGTTATATTTTAAAACGAAATATTTTTTCCTTTTCTATATCTTCTTACAGTATAGAGGTCTACTACAGAGCTGACAAGTTATGCTGATTGACTGAGTAAGCAGACAGATTACTCTTAAAACAAGACTTTATGGTAATAAACATTTATATTATATAAATAAAACAATGATTAATGCCATTAAAAAAACATTTTAAATTGTTGGTAGAAATTCTATAGGGACACCTGAGAAAAGAAAACAAACATTGTTTAAAAATGAACAGTGATGTAAAATATACATATAAGTTATATTAATGAAAAATATTTTAATTGAACACTAGAAAAGACTTCCCTGAAACAAGTATTTCCAACTACCCCTTTATTCGGTACCCTGAAGGTAGTGTTATCATGGAAAGATGAGTGATACAAAGTCTATTAAAAAGGAGAAACGTATATGAATTTGAAAAGTGAGGAGAGAGAGGAGGATACACATGAAATCCTATGCCTGTTTCAAACAGGACAATATTAGACTATATAACAAGACCTAGAAGTTATTTCTTAAAACTATCTATACCAGGCAGAGTGAACCCTACAAAGTTGTCACTGAAAGGAATGGGAGCTGAGCTTCAGAGTAGTATAGGAATGAGATAGCAGGGCTTCTCTGCACGAAGTACAAGGAAATACATGAAGAGCCATACATGTGCACAATAAAAAAAAAAATCTATACCAAGTGTAATCCCAGGGTATGCTTAATCCAGTTTAAAGACCAATGTTCTTAAAGATTATTTCTTCATTTCCATTCTGCTCATATTCCCTGCTTTCTTCAATGACACAAGCTAAGCAATCTCTATCGGCAGACATATTTCAGTTGGAGGGGAAATGCCTTGAAAAATCAGAATTTCCACACTAGCTCATGTTATGACCCTGCCCCCATCCCCCTTTTCTGTATAATCAAAATATTCCAAGCAACCATCAGTTTTCTACTGGACTGCCTCAGCCTCATAAGGTGCTGCCTGGCTCAAGTGAGCAAGCGCTACCCCAGGATGGGAAAGTCCTCTTGGAATCAAAAATATTACAACTGGCTGATTAATAAAAACAATTATAACAAAATTAATACTGTAAGACAAGGCAGTACTAGAATGATCAGAATTCTTTTACTGCCCAGAAGAGAACCCAAATGTCATCTCTCTACTATCTCACAATCCTTCTATTCAGTTTCTAAAGAACTGCTTAAGTTTTCTATTGTTTTTAAATAAGGAACTTCACCTAAATCCTCTATTCAGCTTTTGAGGAATTTTGCTGTATCTCTTTGTGATGGACTTACAAGAGAATTACTCTGTTCTGCCCTCCAATAATCCGTGATCAGGAACAAAAAGTCCCCCACACTTCAAGTCATGGAATATGTTAGAATAACCAAAATTTCATCTGCTATCATGAATTTGAATACCAATATCACTTAATAACCCTAATACCTAGTCCCAACTTTTGCCTCTAAGATTCAGGCTTACAAAACAAAAGCCTATCTGCCTATGAAAATATGTAGATGTCTTAGTTGTCAAAAATGTGACATAACCACAATGGCATATTTGATAACCATTTCTTTTCATAAATCCAGATTCTACCTGTCTTTCCCAGCTCAGTAAATGGAACTATCATCGTCTGCTAACCAGACCCTGGAAAAATGTTAAGTTCCATTATGCTATAATTAACATACAATAAACTACAAATTTAAAGTGTACAAATTTGATAAGTTTTGTCATATATAGATACACACCTCCACAATCAAGATACTGAACACATTCATTATCCTCCGAAAGATTCATTTACTCAGTCAAAATTCTTTCTTTCATATTCCACATCCAGGCTACCACTAAGTCACATAAATTCTTCCTCTAGCAAGTCTTTTGTTCCCAACATTTCTCACCTGGACAACCTAACCTCTTAATTGGCCTCCTTCTTGCTTCCCCTCTTGCCCATACAATCCATTCTCCCAAAAGGAGATTTTGAAAATATTTAAAAACTACTCACACTTAACTAACAGGACACTCAATTTTCCACATAGAATCAAAGCTTTTTTTTTTTTTAACCATGACCTTAAATATCAATAATTTAGGTCTAAAATGAGATTCTCAGATATAATTACAGGACCCTACTTAGTTTTACACAAGAGAATTCCAATCCCTACTAGGTTAAAATTTTCCTTCATTCTAAGCTATCATGTCACTCTGGGAAGATGAAGCACACTCAAACCAATAACTTGGAGGATGCTGTGTTGTTCCTAAGAGGCACTAAAAAGGTCAAGTGAAAATCAGGGGAAAGGAGAACTGCACACACATAAATATTAAATTAAAATTCTAAAAAGTACCATTAGAAAATTTTAGGAAACTTTTTAGAACTTTTAAGGAGACCCCTAAAGAAGTTTCCCTGGGGGCATCAAAGAAGTGTTTGGCATTTCAGAACTGATTCCTAACTAGTAATAAAAACTAAATACTAGTGCTGGAAAGTCTCAGGAATCATAGTCTTGCTCTTATAAGAATGAGAAGCGTGAGATCCAGTTAAGTGAAAAGATTTACTGGAAAAGGGGAAGAGCTAGACCTCAGAACCCTAAACACCAACTGGAGGCTCGTCTCCAATTCCACATGCATTACTGTGGCGACAAGCTGTGGCATGGGAGGTTCGAGAGAAACCTTGAGCGTTCCCATTGATTCCTTTCAACAATTAAATTATTTAGCACCTACTATGTGCCACGCACACTGCTGAGGATGCTGTGGGTTCAAACAGGACTGTGACCTAATAAGGTGCTTCCTTCCCCTCTCCGTAATTTGAAAGAGAAAATCAATGTAAGCTTGCCCGGGCGTTCCATGTCTGCCCCTTTGCAATATGAGCTGCTGCGATTTGACTAAGACGCCCCAGGTGACACGCGGCAGCCAGGAGGGATTTTCCGGGGTGGGTAGTGAGACACAGACCGCTGACAGTGCACGTAATAAGACTTCTCTCTTTAAAAGGGCTTATTTCCTAATGAGCGCTCAAAACTTTTTAAGTGGCCCCAAAAATACCGGAGCCCGGACACAGGGATAGCGCGAGCCCGCAGAACGACCGCCAAGGCGGATGCTCAGCTCACCTTCCCACCAGGCGTGTCAGAAGACTCAGGATTCTGTGTGACCGCATCTTCCGGTTCCCGCCGGAAGTTTTTCAAAGACCGGAAGTCCCGCCTCGATCCTCCATGATTGTAGCGCTGAGTTACAGTGGTGGGGTGGAGTCTAACTGGACGGAGGCGGGGTTGGAGCTAGGGTCCCTAGGGCGCGCTGGGGTGCGGTCCTTCCCCAGGGCTGGGAGCCGAGCTTGCTTCTTCACCCGGATCTGGGTAAAGGTGGGGCTCAGAGGTTCCGCGAAAGCTGCCGCCAGTTTTTCTTCTCTCTTTTAACTTCCTTCTTTCTCTTCCTCTTTTTACTCTTTCCCTTAGCCTCTTAATTTCAGTGTTCAAGAACGTTTTTAATGGTAATTTGTAGTGCAAAAATAAACTTTGTTCTAAGGGCAATTTTGTTTATTTTTTATTTTGTGCATTTTTCCATCTCAGTTGTAATCCCCATGGGCCTCCCATCACCAAAATTGCTAAGGACAATTTTAAATGTTAACTTCCACAAGATTTTTTTTAGTAGGCTTTATGATTTCCTAAGCCCTACTGGAAGCGGGTTTTTGTCCCACCTTAGGAAAATGCAGATGTTGCCTTTTGTAAGACCTCCCACGCTCTGTAAGGTGCATTATACTTTAATTGTTAAGTTTAGCCCTAGAATCATCACTGTCTTAGCTGATAAAATAAGCTGTCTCATCTTTCAGGCAGTTTGGTACACTGCCAAGTACTTAACCAAGTTGGAAACCTGGTTCTCTTGGAACTTCCTAATAGGTTTGGGCAGATCACTTTTTCTTTGAGCCTGCCACTGTCTCCTCCTACATCTTACTCCTTGTTTTGTCCCAAATTCTGTGACCGGCCGCAGAAAGACAGACGAGAGGCTGAGCAAACAATTTATTGCTCTCGGACAGCAGCAGAGACAGAGCCCAAGAGTAGGGTCCGCAGCTACTGCGGGGGGAAGGGTCTCTTATATAGGTTTAAAACTTGAATTCCAAAGAGGCGATTAATCGCTACGTTCCTTGATGTATGGCCCAGTTCGTTATCACCTTCATCTAGTCCCATCTCCGATGCAAGACTCCGTTAATTGGATGCAAGGCCCCCAATTTATTACCACCTTATCACCTTTGGATGCAAGGCCAGATTTATTACTGCCCTTACCCGGTCCCTCAGTAAATCTCCGCATTTGGTCACTCCCAACACTCCTTATCTAGTAAGGTACCTCTAGGAGAATACATTTTATATACTAGGAAAATATACTCACTAAATATATTTGAAGCAACCACAGATCCCAGTTGTCTGTCCTTCCTGAGAAAAAATGGTAAAGTCCTGCCACGTTTCATTTCAGATTCTTGGAAAGTGCTATTGTAATAGGGTCATCCCTAGGAAAAGGGGGAGTTCCAGGTTCCCTGTCCCACCCACAAGGAGGGTGGAGCTGAGCTAAGAAAAAGAAGAGAAGAGAAGGAAGTTGGATGGAGAGGAGAAAAAAAGAAGCTGGATGGAGAACTAGAAGGAGACCTGAAGGAAGCCACATGGAGCAGCAAGCCTGTGAGGAAGAAGCCGTGCAAGCCGTGCTTGTTTCCTGACCCTGGACTGGTTAAGGCAGATGTGGGTGAGAGACCTGTAGGGAGGTGACTATGGCAGTGTTTATACTGATTTTGATTTTGCTCTTTTCCTCCCAGACTTGTCTGGCCATTTCTGACCCTTTTCCGTGGGTCCTGGCCTGAAGGTGCTTTAGAATCTTGCGGTGGGCTTTCAGGCCACGCTTTGGGCCAATCCCTTTTGGGTTGACTTTTGCCCATGAGGGGATGGGTAACTTAAGGTGTTTGATTTAGACATTATATTCTTTGTCTTCTGTATTGTATACTTGCTGTATTAAAGTCCCTTTTCATTAAAGTTTTATACATTTTGCCTTGATGCGGTGGATGGCAGAATCCACTTAGAGCAGGTAGGTTTGGGGCTTCAGAGGTACCCCTCTCTCCCTGCCCTGTAACACTGTGAATTAAGTCCTGAAAACCTAGTACTCTGGGAAAAGCTGCCTCTAAATCCAACATTTCCGTTTTCCTTACAATGCACAGAAGTAGCTTCCACTTTTTAGTTTGATGTGGCCAAAGTGTCTTCACCCCACTACTATCCCTGTAACCTTACTTTTTTTCCCCACTAACAATTTAAAAGCTACCCAGGCCTCCCCAGCAATTCTTTCCTGATAATCCTAAATATATCATCTCAAAATCAGTTCTCAGTAGAAATTAAAAATTACTTGGTTTCATTCTGTTATTTTTATCAAGCTCAGTGAATTCTAAGCTCACAGAAACCACCAAAGAAATTAGATTGTAAAATTAGAGAAATAATCTATTGTTAGGTTAGATTAGAAATGAGCAAATTAAAACCTCAAAGGTTTATTTAGGATATTCTAAAAAACAACTTTCCATACAAATGACTCATTTCCAAGGAATTTGAGTGCTGAAAGCCTAGCAACTATTAAAATTGTTAGATACACCCCTGTGAAAGGGTAGTGCCATTTTCCCCCAACCCCATTTACCCATCATCATCTTGGATCATAGGTCCAGCTGTTGCATGAATTTGACTTCTGAAGCACTATGTATAGGGGTAGCTCCTGGGATCCAGGGGCAGAGCTAAATCACTGGGTGAAGCTATATAATATGAAAGCCAGGTGGGCTCTAGGGACTCTTGCTTTTATGTCTTTGACTTGCACCCAGAAACTTGGAAAAGAGACATAGAAGGAGATGAAAGAGACTTGGAGAGATTGCCCCTAATCTTTGGCAGAGACGACAGCAGCTATTATCTTGTGTACTTTGAGTTTCCTTTTTCCTTTTGACCTAGATTTTCAGCGACTACCTTACCCCTTTCTTGTTATCTCCTCTACCTCTCCACAGAAGGTACCTTAAACTTAGGCAAGCTTTTGGGCTCAGCAGTCTCACCTCAGAGACTTCACACTGTTTGACTGAATATTTGCCCATGAGGAGATGGGTAATTTGGGGTGTTAGATTAGAAAACTTTTATTAAGAATCTCCTTTCTTCCCTTCTTCTCTCTATTCACACTAATTCTATTAAATATCTAACGTACTAAGAAATATGTATCCTTTTTCTTTATGCAGCAAATGGCAGAATCCCTTTTAGAGCCTGAACCCCCTTAATAGTTTGCAGTCCCTGGATACTCCTCTGTCATATGCTAACAAATGACCCATGAATGACTGGAGTCACCCAAAGTGACCATAAATTTTACTGGATACTTTTTTTAATGAGGAGGAACTAGGAATCATTTAATTTAGTAAGGATTCTATATATAAGATCCTTGTAAGAATCAATTTCTGAAATTATTTAAGATTCGATTTTTTTTAAAAGATTTATTTATTTATGCACACAGAACTGGGGTAGAGGCCAGAGGTGCAGGGGCAGTGAGAGGATTCACCAGAGACAGAGTGGGGAGCAGAACAGGCCGAGTGATGAAGTACACTGCTGAGGGGAGCAGCGGACAGATTAGAGGTCTGCCACGCCATGTGGGTCACCTCCAGGGCTAGGGATCGAACTCATGCGGAAGTGGCTTTAGCTTCTTAGTGCTGTGCATTAACCTGATGCTCCACCAGGGAGGGCCTAAGATTTGTTTTCTTTTTCCTTTTTAATTTGCAGTCTCATGTTGCGTTTTGTAGTAACTCAGGAAGGCCACAGTCACAGTCTGCTCTACAATTTCTAGTTCCAAGATTATACGGAGAAAGGCAAAGTCACAAAAATCAACACTAATTTACTTTACTGTTCACCTACTTTTGATGTCAAATATCAATACTCTGCACAATCTTCTGACATAAGTCCTGCCCTGGATGAATTTACAAACAAGACTGAGAAATAGATGTAGCCAAAGAGACAGAGACCCATGTAAGATGCTCTAGATTCAAAGCTGTGTAACAGGGTGGTCCCTAGGAAAAGGGGATGTTCCAGGTTCCCTGCCCCACCCAGAAGGAGGGTGGAGCTGAGCAGAGAAAAAGGAGAGAAGGAATCAGGAGAGGGGAGAAGGAAGCAGGATGGAGAACAAGGAGATCTGAGGAAGCCACATGGAGCAGCAAGCATGCGATGTAGAAACCGTGCTTGTTTCCTGACCCTGGACTGGTTAAGGCAGATGTGGGTGAGATACCTGTAGGGAGGTGACTATGGCGGTGTTTATATTGATTTTGAGTTTGCTCTTTTCCTCCCAGACTTGTCTGGGCATTTCTGAGCCTTTTCCATGGGTCCTGACCAGAAGGTGTTTTAGTCTTGTGGTGGGCTTTCAGACCTTGCGTTGGGCCAATGCCTTTTGGGTGGACTTTTGTCCACCAGGGGATGTGTAGAAGTTATATTCTTTGTGTTTCATATTGTATATTTACTGTATTAAAGTCCCTTTTCATTAAAGTTTTACATGTTTTGTCTTGACACGGCAGATGGCAGAACCCACTTAGAGCAGGCAGGTTTGGGGCTTCAGGGGTGCCTCTCTCTCCCTGTCCTGAAACAGATTTGCTGTCCTGTAACACTTGTACATGGTAGGAGTTGCACCTTCCAAAGAGGACAAGAATAGAGATTGGACAGTATGGTCACATTTTGACTCCCTTCTCCCCCACTGGGGATATTTGCCGTTCATCTGGGAAATAAAGTTTATTAAAGGAAGGTTTAGACATTAGCAAGCTGGAAAAAATAAAAACTGGATCAGGATCCTCTAAAATTCATGTAGCCTACTCCAAAGGCAAATAGAACTTTCCGGAAGACATTTCCCTTGGAATTTTCCCAAACAAGCTGCTCTATGCTGTCAAAGGAAATTTGTGATCATTAATATAAATCAGAACCCACCACAAACCTGCCTTTTCTTTCTAGGAACTTATCCAATCTATTATTTATTATTGGAAATTAAATTCTGAAATTTATGGATTCACAGTGTTCGCATGAATACTCACCTGAGGCTATGCAATAGGGTTTGGGGAAAAATGTTTGGGGTTTCTTGCAAGTTACTTGTTTTATTGGTCCAGGGCATACAGTTCTTCATATTTTTATTGATACTGTAATCATCTGCATAG